TCTAAAAATACCCCATACAAAACCCCCACTAAAACATAATCAAACTACGCCAGGCCGGCCGCACGGAATAGATGGGCCTTCAGGGCTCGGCGAAAAAGGCGCAGGTCCGCAACTGTACGTAGGTCGGGGGGTAGGTCATTCCAGAGGGCAGGAGCTGCCACAGAGAAGGCTCTCCCCCTGGGGGTCGCCAGCCGGCATTCTCTGGCCGACGGCACCCTAAGGAGGCCCTCTCTGTGGGAGCGGACTGGTCGAAGGGAGGTGTTTGGTAGGAGGCGGTCTTGCAAATACTTAGGTCCATTGCCACGGAGCGCTTTAAAGGTTGTTACTAACACCTTGAAGCGCACCCGGAAGGCCACCGGCAGCCAGTGCAGCTCGCGCAGGAGAGGTGTTACATGGGAGTATCTAGAGGCCCCCAGGATCCCCTGCGCGGCCGCATTCTGCACTAGCTGGAGCCTCCAGGTGCACCTCAAGGGGAGCCCCATGTAGAGAGCATTGCAATAGTCCAGGCGGGAAACAACGAGCGCTTGAGTGACCGTGCGTAGAGCGTCACGATCCAGAGTTCCCCAACGTTTCTGGCTTTGCGGACTGGCGGGGGGCTGGTTCCATATGAGTGGCCTGCCACTCACTTAAATGGAGTGCACGCGCACACACATTCGCCCACTGCTCACACAAATGACAATGCGCACCCGCGCAATGCCGGCTATTTCCATGGCCGTTCACGGTCTTCTTCTCTTCTCTCGTAGTACATTGAAGAACTGCTCCTGAGCAAGCAATCCCTGCTGATCTTCTTGGAAGAGGTCTTCTCTGGGTCTCAACAGCTCTCTCTCTCCGGCAGAGCCTGGCTGAGCCTGGTCCTCAATGCTTATTACGCTGGGACCATCCCAGATGTCTTGATAGTGCCTGTTAGCATCTCTTACGAGAGAGCTCCTGACTTCATTCACGGGGGGAAGGAGGTAAGAGCAGCCGTGGCCAAAAGGCCCTGCAAATCTCAGATCCCAACTCTAGGATCTGAGAATCCTAGAGTGGGAATTTGGAGATAATCTAGGACAGTGGTTCTCAACTTTTTTAATGCCGCGACCCCAACCGGTCGTAAGTCGAGGACTAAACCGGTCGTAAGTCGAGGACTAAACCGGTCGTAAGTCGAGGACTAAACCGGTCGTAAGTCGAGGACTAAACAGTCGTAAGTCGAGGACTAAACCGGTCGTAAGTCGAGGACTACCCAACCGGTCGTAAGTCGAGGACTTTCCCTGCCTGGGAGCGCCGCGCATGCGTGGTTCTGTCCCCTGCGCCGGCCGAGGCGTAGCTGGCAAGCGGCAGAGACGGAGCAGGCCGACCACCAGGTGGCCCAGCCCAAGGGAGGTAAGGCACCCGCCGGAAAAGGGGGGAAAAATGGCGGACAAAAAAAATGGCAGACAAAAAAAATGGCGGACAGCCTTGCTTGGCGACCCCCATGAAATGGTCGATCGACCCCAAATGGGGTCCCGACCCACAGGTTGAGAACCACTGATCTAGGATGAGAGTAAGAGCCCACCTGCAGCCCATAATGGCCCAGTCTCTGCCCTAAGTCTGCTGCCCTGTCCCTTCTGGGGTCCAAACTGAAGACAAGCATGTGGCCTCCATCCACCACTGGGGGCATCCACCAGGAAAGGGTCAACAAAGTCATAATGTTGACCACAGCTGATGTCTGCATTGCTTGTTCCATTTTCCAGAGCCCCAACCAGACTCTCGGTCTCTGGACCACTGTGTGGACTCTCTGCCGAGCCGCTTGTCGGGGACTGGGCTGCGTCCGGATCGACCTTGGTCAGCCCTTCTCCTTGCAGGTACGGAGGGGAAGGCCTCTCGGACATCCAGCCCTGGCCCAGCGGCCTCTGTGCCGGGGGAAATGCTTGGGAAACATGGCGATGCCACAGTAACCGCATGGTTGAAGCCCCATCTTGGTTAGGCATGGATTGTGACGCCCTTCCGTTTTCTGATGTGTGGGATGCACCTTACACAGGTAGTCCTCGACTTAAGACTGCAAATTGAGCCCAAAATTTCTGTTGCCAAACAAGACATTGGTTAAGTGAGTTTTGCCTTGTTTTACAACCTATCTTGCCACGGTTGCTAAGTAAATCATTGCAGTTGTAAAGTTACTAACACGGCTGGTTAAGTGAATCTGGCTTCCCCCTTGAGTTTGTTTTGCAAACGGTGATCACATGACCCTGGGACATGGCAACCGTCATAAATAGGAGTCAGTTGCCAAGTGTCTGAATTTTGATCAGATGACCATGAGGATGCTGCAAAAAATGGTCATAAGTCACTTTTTTTTTTAGTGTCATTGTGACTTTGCACAATCACTGAACGAACTGTTCTAAGCCAAGCCAAGATTCTTTTTCTTTCTTCCTAGGAATTTGTGACAAACAGATGTTTCAGGCAGAACAGCTCTAGGAAGCAGCTGAAAGAACTGCTCTTACCTGAAATTTTGGGCAGCTGGTAAGTCTGTGTGAGAGTTGTGGAGATGTGAAAGCTGCAGTGCTTAGCCCACCCACCCCTCCCCCACAGGGAAGATGCAAAAGTCCCAGCTGCAGTTGAAGAGACCCAACATCTGTCTGGATCCAAGGAAGTCAGCCAGAAAGGAACTCAAAAGGTTTCTCCAGTTAACTTAGACAGAGGTCGCATCTGTCTTGCTTAGCAACACATTTTGGGCTCAGTTGTGGTCGTAAATGGAGGACTCCTTGTACAAAAGGGGCAGATTTCCATTGCAATTTCAGGTCCATCTTTTTGTCTGAATTAGCTAAAGAATCTGTTCATATCCTCAGAAAAGGTTTGGACCTGGGCAGGAAGCCAGTGGGGCAACTTTGAATCAATTAATCTCCCTTAGCCCACTCCACCTCACAGGGTTGTAGTGAAGAAAATAAGAGGAAGGAGCATTATGCACAGCACCTTGAGTTGCTCACCCACAAAAAACTCTGGGCTGTTAGTCTAACAATAATATTATTTTAATCTGCAAGATCCTTGTCAGTGGCCAGAAATTAATACAACTTGTAGACCAAATGATCTGCAGGAATCCTATACGTTTGCTATTTAAATAGACCAAATGTGATCTTTGAGCATTGGAGGAAGGATGGAATAAAAAGCTCAATGATAGAGATATAGATAGATAGATAGATAGATAGATAGATAGATAGATAGATAGATAGATAGATAGATAGATAGATAGATAGATAGATAGATAGATGGAGGGATAGATGGAGGGATAGATGGAGGGATAGATGGAGGGATAGATGGAGGGATAGATAAAGGGGCGGACGGAGGGAAAGACAGTACTGATCCAAAAAGCTGCTGTTCACCAGATCCTCATTCTCTGGTTTAATAGCTCCAGCATTCTGGATTGTGAGAAAGTTGAATGTTGGCCGACGAGCTCTCAAGATGTTGTGGCACTGACTGTAGAAGAACAGGTTTTGCTGGACAATTTAAGCCTACATGCTTTGAGTGGTAAGTAGTTGCCCTGTGAAAAAAAGGCTACTTAAAATAATGAATGCTAGTTTGGTGTAGTGGTTAAAGTCACCAAGCCAGAAACCAGTAGAAGTTTTAAAAGGTTTTTCAGCCCCACCAAATTCCAGAAATCCTGATCAAATCAAAGAATTCTAGTGACAGAAAATCTGTTGTTTTTGACTGAACTCTTTCCCCACTCCTAATTGTCTCTCAGAGGACTCCATAAAATTTTCCCATTGGAAGGACTTGGTGGATCCCATTTGAAAAACCTAGCATTAGATCATCTCTGAGAGACGATCCTGGACCAATTCCAAGAGTTATTTGGGGAGGAAAATTGGGGAGAACATGCTTCTGTCTTCTCCACCAACCTCTTAGAAGAAGGGCCTGAATGTAAAGTGATAGATAAACTACAACAAATTCAACCTTTTTCAGCATAAGGGATGAAGTAAGCATAGATTATTTAGCACAAAAGGTGTCTTCTTGGCCTCACAGAAGTTGGAAAACAATAAACTAGACTTCGAGAAATCTTCTGGATTCTCAGAATGCTTCATCCAGAGAAGTTCAGCTAAAGAAATGCATTTCAGACGAGATTTTCCAGGTCTAAATTCTCCGTGTCTCTTGAGTTACTGCAGTTCCTTCCCTGGATATCAGGAGATAGCTCTAAGCAGAGGCAGCCTGTTGTCAGCCAGCTCTGCACGTTATTGTTGCTGCATTTGTCTGTGTTTCTGCCAGCTGTGCCTGCCTGTCTGTTACCCACTTGGATAACGTGGCACATGAGTCCCTTCTACATCCCAGAGGTGACGAGAAAGATGTTGTTCCTGTGTCAAGGACACAGATGTGTCGGTAGACAGACGCCTACGTTCAGATGGTTTGTTCCCATATCAGGTTGTGTGAGACATGGCAGGAGTTGCTTAGGTAGTGAGTGTTAACTGGCAGCAACAGTAGAAGAGCTGGAAAGAGTAGAGTAATCAATCAAGGAGAGAAGCAACCTAGAATTAAAAGGAGAAATTAACCAGTAGAACAGCTTGCCTCCAGAAGTTGTAGGTGCTTCATCACTGGAGGTTTTTAAGAAGAGATTGGACAGTCACTTGTCTAAGATGGTCTAGGGTCTCCTGCTTGAGCAGGGGGCTGGACTAGAAGACCTCCAAGGTCCCTTCCAGCTCTATTCTGATTCGGTTTCTCTTGTGCTGTCTTGGGTAAAAGCTCCAATGTACAGCTCTGAACACTCCTCAATGCACTGGGCTGCATTCACTGGAGTCTTATGTACAATCTTTAGGATGGATAAGCCTATCTCATAGTTTTGGTGGGTTCGGACATGTTGTAGTTTTGGGAACATTGAGAACACTTCTGATGCTCAGAGAAAGAGTTTCTGCTCTTTCCAGCTTCTGAGAATGTTTTTTTAAAAAAAGGAAAAGTAAGGCTCCTCCATGGGAGAATAGCCCTTCCTGTGGGACGTGACCAGATGGCTAGTCCTTGTTTGATGGAGAGGATCTATAGGAAACTGGAGCACTCAGAATATGCTGGTTACTAGCCAGTCCCACTTAGTTGCTTAAGAGCCTTTGTTACATAAAAGATGGGGCTCACGTGTCAAGGTGAGTTTTTTAGTTTATTGCTATTCTCTGAGTGTGGATGTAACTTCCCAATTATCAGTTATTTTAGTATAATAACTCCAACTGCTCTGTCTGTGCTAATGCATAGCCTGCGTGACTTTGGTATAATGGTTTATGAGCGCCCGCTCGCTGTCTCTCCATTTACGATTCAGGAAGAGTAATATTGCTGCGAAAAAGAGTACCTTACCAAGATAAATCCTTTCCTTTAAAAAAAAAAATATATATGAAATTTTTAAAAAAGCAAATGGCTCATCCTGGCCTATTGCAGTCAATTTATTCAGCAGGAAAAACAATTTGGGTCCAGCCAATCCACCTGGGTATGTTCTTGCAAAACAATTCAGTTCCTACCGATTTTACTGTTTGCTAGTAAGGATTTAAGAGTCCATTTTTTGTTCAGCTGAGATCATTTTGACAACCCCCGACGGCTCGGTATTATTATTTCCTTTGTCCAGGGCAGGGTTTCTCAACCTTGGCAATTTTAAAATATGTAGACTTCAACTCCCAGCATCCCCGTGATCATGTGATCAAAATTCAGATGCTTGGCAACTGGCTCATATTTATGACAGCTGCTGTGTCCAAAGGTCACGTGATCACCTTTTGACCAGCCAAGTCAGTGTGGAAGCCAGATTCACTTAACAACCAGGTTACTAACTTAACAACTGCAGTGAGTTGCCCTGTTTAGCAGGCTTTTCCTAAGAGCTGGTCCGGAAGAGCCCCATAACGAGGTACCTGCAACGGTGTTATTTTGCTTTTCATCCCAATAGCCTTTGCTAACTCTGCCCACTGTCAACCTTCCTAGCAGGTATATCATGTTCGGCCATCATGGCAGTCCAGATCCTCTCTGCACTTCTACACAAGCACCAAGAGGTAAGAATGGAAAGTAAAGAGGGGCAGGGGGGAGCTCCCACTTTCTCCCAGGAACCTACTTAGGGGTTGGGACCTTGGAAATAATAGGAACTGGCTTGCTCTGTAGAACCTCAAGGGGCATGATGACTTGCTGTATCTCCTGAGCTTCTCATCTCCTCCAAAGGCTAAACATACTCCATGTTATCAACTCTCCTCATGGGACTGTGGACTTTTTGTTTCCTTTCTTTTCTCTTGCATCCTTGAACCATCCTTAAAAGTGGGATGCCCCAAACTGGACCAGTCCTTGAAGGAAATCTGGCCAGCACACAGTAGAGTGAACATGGAGCCGTGGTGGCACAGTGGCTAGAATGCAGCATTGCAGCTGATTCTGCCCACTGCCAGGAGTTCAATCCTGACCGGCTCAAGGTTGACTCAGCCGCCCATCCTTATGAGGTCAGTAAAATAAGGAACCAGATTGTTGGGTTCCATATGCTGATTCTGTAAACTGTTTAGAGAGTAGGTATTTTTCCGTAAGTGACACTGAGCGTCTGGATTTCCTTCAAGTACAGTCAGCATAAGACTTCTCCCAGCACTCATGTCCAGGGTGATCCAAAAAGCTGCTGACGGTACCAGGACTAGCAGTTTTTCGTCTTGGGGGCTTCTGACCTGACTTATGATTCCAGAAGTATATTAAAATCTATTTGGCTGAATTCTTTTGGTAGCTGTGCTGCCATTTGTGACAACAACATCTACTTAAAACTTAGTTGCCTCATACGAAGGACTCCAGGGCAATCCATAGGAAAGATACAAGGTAGACCCATAAAGGACGGATTGGGGAAGATATCCAGAGATACCCTGTCCAAGAGAAAAGTTGGACAGTCTTTCAAGATTGATGTCAGCCCTTCCAGATAGGCCAAATCAAGAAGCAAAAATGTTCTTTTACTGTCTTATCAGAAACTTGAAACTTGCTCAAGTGTCCCTGGCAGGGGCAGGTGGTCTCAAGCCCATCAAATTATTCCAGATTAAGCAAGGAAATTGCAAGACATCAACAATATATTTATTTTCCTGGCTTTCTTTCTTCCTGCTTCCACCAGGGGGTTTTCCTTTCTCGACTAATGCAAGACTTTGTTTGGATCACCGATGAGATCCTGATGCGCAACTGTGATGTGGGGTTTTCCGGCCGGGTCCGTGATGTGTTGTGTCATGGCCTGTCCCTGCTGCGAGAGTGCATTACCCTTTTTAGACTCTCCTTGGGAGATGTCTTGGTGGTTCCCAAGAAGACCGAGGCGGCCATCAGGGAGCTGAGCCAGCACAGCATGGCTCTCTTGCCCGTCTTCATCCAGGAAGCTGTTGGGGGTGAGTATCCAGGTCCTCAAAGTCTCACAAAGCCTACTTAGATAATCTGGCTTGCTGATGATTTGATGGCTTCAGAGGAGTAGTGAAGAACTTTGGCTAAGATCACAGAGAGAGACTGGCTGGATAATTCAGGGTATGGCCAGAAGCAATAGCAAACACTTCAGTTTGGGCTTCATCTGCTCTTTCTTCTAAGTTCTGGGCTTCTCAGAGCCATCAGCCTCTTACTGTATCTCTATGGCTCCCTTCTCAGCCATCTTTCGTCCCTTGGTTTTGACTCTACAGCAGGTCACCCTCTGGCCCTGTGCTTAACCTTTAACCATCTCATCACCTCTTTGATTTGTTTCTCTTCCTGAAGTTTGGTAGTGGAAGTTTTTAGGTAAGACTCTAGGCAGTGTTTTTCAGTGTTGGCACTTTAAGACTTGTGGACACAACCATGCTGGCTGTGCAATTTGGGGAGTTGTAGTCCATGCATCTTCAAGTTGTGAAGGTGAAGAAACCCTGATTGAGGTACCTCCTAACAGTTGCATTAATGTGCATTCCTCCTATCCTAAGAAGAAAAAAAAGAAATACATACCCTGATTCAGATCTGTGTGTGTTTGTGTGTGTGTCCATCCAATGCTCAGGGAGACAATGAAGACCTTTCCTTTCTCCTAAACAATGGTGACGCTTGTGTAGTGTGCTGCTAAGTACATGAAAATGATGGTGTAAAGTGGGGCGAATTCAGCTTTACTCCTCCCATCTTTTGGGCAGCTTGTTCCATCAACGCTCTTCTGATGGAGGTGCTGCCGTATCTGGGGAGCCCTGAGCAGCTTGGGAACTTCGTCCTGGCCCACGAAGAACTTCACAACAAGTCTGTCCTGCTGGTCCAACTGCTACCCAAAGATTTCCTTCTACGCCAGGTAGGCAGTATTTGCTTGTTTGCTGGGATTTGCCCAAGAAGAGACTGGACAGTCCCTTGTCTGGAATGGCATGGGGTCTCCGGCTTGGGCAGGCAGGTGGATTAGAAGACTGCCAAGGTCCCTTCCAACTCTGTTATTCTGTATTTTGTGTAAATTCATTGGTTGATAAATATAAAAGACAACCACTTTTCTTGGTTTCTTTCTTAGTCTGTACTTTTAATTTCTCTTTAATTTTTTTTCTTTAAGATCATGGGTTAAAGATTTGTTTTTAAAAGGTGAAAATTGCCATTTATCCTTAATTTTGCAGTCACTGATGGATAATCCTAATGCAGATTTTAAAAAGTTCCAATGCCTGCAACTGCTTGTTTGTTCCTTTGTCTCTTCCAACATACCGAAGTGCTCTTATTCCTAATTCGTAGGAATGTGCTTCCATCTGCAGTTTTAAAAGGGGAATACAGCAAAGTGGGGGGGGGGTCTCCAACCTTGGCAGCTTTACGACTTGTGGATTTCAACTCCCAAAATTCTTGGAGGCTGTGCTGGCTGCCATTTTTCTGTTGAGGAATTCTGGGAGTTGAAATCCACAAGCTGTAAAGTTGCCAAGGTTGGAGACCCCTTCGGTAGAGTAAGAGGGAATTGTGGAACTAGGAATATGTAGCAATAACTCTGTGAGGGGTTTTTTTTAGGAATTTTGGGAAGCAATTTGTATTTGCATTCTTTTTGAAGAACTTGGAAACAGTTTTGCCTTTTGCTTTTGAAGTATTAGGAGATTTGCCACAGAGCAACTACTAAATATGAGTAGGCAGCTTTCGTGAGTTAATGAAATGGGTGTCCATGACTTACGACTTCTTGGAGAAGATGCCTACTCTGAGTCATTGGACTGTGCCTCCGATGGGGCTTGAATTACTAGCTATGGATCTTAGGCTGCCTGTGACTAACAAACATACATCTTCACTTGCAAGTAGAGTATTAATACAGCGCATTTTCAGGTGCATAAATGAGTAACAGTCGTTGCAACAAGCTCCCTGTAATGTAAGTTCAGTTTTATTACCACCCATTTTGCAGATAAAGAAAGGAATGTTTGTCCAGACTTGATTATGGCCAAGGTGAAGGACTTTCAGTTGTTTTTTTCAGACCTCAGAACCTGTTGGTTTTTTTAAAAAAAATAAAATAAAAAATCCTGGATCTCAAGAGGCTAAGTTCCAGTGATAGAAGATCAATGCACATCAAGGAATTTTCCCCACTTTTGGACCATAATCTCTTGTGAAACTCCAACAAGTTTCAGATTTTGAAAAACCCTGTTCTACATGGTTCACGGTGAACAGAATCACCATCAGGCAATTGCAAAAGACAAGTTTACGTGAGACAGCTTACATCCTGTGATAATTTTAAGTAACATCTGCCTATCACCGTTCCTTGGGAAGGATTCGATAGAGGGAGAAAAATTCCTGTAACTTATGGACCAACAAGCCTGAGCCTATAATGGTACTTGGGAATAACCTTGGAGGTGACACACTTAGCGTATAGTCCTCAGTGGAACCACATCTACATGGAGGGAAGCATGCCGTGAGGGACGCTAAGGCTCTGTCTTAGGCCTAGAATTCCTCAACATCTCCATAAATGATTCAGACAAGAGGATAGAAGGGGAACTTATCAGATTTGCAGATGACAACAAGTTGGGGGAATAATCAAAATTTTAAAAGATAGGCTCAAGATCCAGAAGGATTTTGACAGACTTGAGCATTGGGCCTGAAATTCAAGGTAGAGAAAAGTAAGCTTTACAGTTAGGCAAGAAAAATCAAATGTACAGGTACAGATTAGGTGGAACCTGGCTCAATAGCAGTAACTGTGACAGGGACCTTGGAGTCCTAGTGGACAATCGCTTAAATATGAGCCGATTGTAGCCTTTTTGTATTAGCACTACCGGATGGCGAGCGTTGTAATAAACTAGTGGAGAGTCGCAGAGGTGGGAGATGCCAAAGGACTTTTGAGCCGTTTGTTCCCTGCCAGCCCAGGTTGGCATTGACGCCTTTCCCCGCTTCCTCCCAGCCTTGCCAGTCGGTGCACTACTATTGCCAACACGCCCTGGACAAGCTGGTGGAGTGTGGACTGCTGGTGGCCGAGGAGGTAAGGAACGCCCTTCTCTCCAGCACCAACCCAGGTTGGTTGTCACAGCTGCCTTTCCCATCGCTACAATGAACAGGGTGCAGGAACACCTAGTCCTCGAGTTAGAACACTTTGCTTAGTGGCTGTTCGAAGTTACAGCGGCACTGAAAAAAGTGCCTTAGGGCCATTTTTTGCACTTATGCCCGTTGCAGCGTCCCCGTGGTCACGGGATCAAAATTCATACGCTTGGCAACTGGTTCACACTTAATGACGGTTGCAGTGTCCCGGGGTCACGTGATCCCCTTTGGCGAGCTCCCAAGAAGCAGAGTCAATGGGGAAGCCGGATTCACTTAACAACGGTGTTACTAATTTAACAACTGCCTTGATTGGCTTAGTAGCTGTGGCCAGAAAAGTCATAAAATGGGGGCAAAATTCACTGAACACAACTTCTCACTTAGCAACATAAGTTGTGGTCGTAAGTTGAGGGCTACCTATAGTCCTCCGTTAACAGCCACAAATAAGATCGGCAGTTCTGTTGCTAAGCAATGCAGTCATTAAATGAGACATCATGTGATTATGCTCCCTTCCGCCACTGTCGTTCAGCAAGCTCACAATGGTTTAGTTGGGCCCATTACTTTACTCAAGGGCTCCCCTCCCTTCCCGTTGCCTGGAGCTGATGGGTGCCTCTCCTCCACCTTTCCCTCCTGCAGGTGCCCAGCGATCACTTCGTGTGTGACACAGCCCAGAAAGGCTTTGCTGAGAAGTTTCTGTGGAAGGCAACTGAAGATTTTGTCGACACTGACAGTCGGAATGAGACCGAGAAGCAGTGCTTCAAAGTACGGGTGCTCTGTGCTCAGGAATTGGGGGAGGGGCCCGGTCCTTTTTCTCTGCGCTCACCTACCCATCCCATTAGATCTTCAGGTTGGTAGGATACGGAGCTAGCCATGGACCCAGGAGTCTTCGTAGAGTCTTGCACAGTCGCTTTTTCCACGTTGTGCGTGGCAGTGGGTTCCTTCCCCTATACAAGTGTGAAAAGTGTAGGTCTGTGATTGAAAAATTGTACAGTTGGAGGGGTCCTTGAAAGCCCAGCTTTGCCTGAACCCTTGAAGTATCCTTGACCGATGTGGATCGTCTGAAGCTAAGCTGGGACAGATCTGGTTAGTATTTGGTATGGAAGTCTATCAGAAAGTCCCGGGGCTGCAGGCTAAACAAGGGAATCAAAAAATCCCAGAAAAAAAAAACTAGTGGCAAAGTGTTTCCAGACTTTCCAAAGAAACTCAGTGGATGAAAGCCCTAAGTCTTACTTTCACGGATGGTTATCCCGCTTCTGTTTGAACACATCTGGCAAAGGGGAGCCCACCATCTTCAGGGCAGGAAGAGGAACAGTTAAAAAAAAGGGGGGGAGGTTTCTGAGTGGCCAATTGCAATTGCAGATGAGGTCTAGATCTGAAGAGGCTCAGGTCTGGCCAGGAAAGATCTCCTCTATCTCTATGGAGATCCTCCATCATCCAGGTCAGGGGTAGGCAACCTCGGCTCTTTTATGACTCATGGACTTCAACTCCCAGAATTCCTGAGTCAGCTATGCTGACTCAGGAATTCTGGGAGTTGAAGTCCATGAGTCATAAAAGAGCCGAGGTTGCCTACCCCTGATCCAGGTCATGGTTGTCCCAAAGTGCTTTTCCAAAAGGCAACTGGACTTTCTTGATATTTTTCCTTGAAAACGTTTTGCTTCTCCTCCAGGAAGCTTCTGTTCTGGGAACTGAAGAAGCTCCTTGGATGAGAAAGGAAACATTTTCAAGGAAAAAAACCCAAGAAAGCCCAGTTGCCTTTTCAAACGCACCTCTGGGACATCTCCTGTGTGAATACCTGCACCTGGAGAATGGCTCTTTCACGGACTTCTCTCCTGTTGCAAAACGCAATGCTCTTGGATGTGTGTGTCAAGGACAAGGCTGCTGTCACATTTCCTGTTCTTGCCACGCTCTTTCCCAGTCGTGGGAGGAAAAGGAGAAAACCTCATCCCTGGTCCTGAAGGCTTCTTCCTCATCCCCATTGTAAAAGAACATCAAATTATCATATCAATTCCTCTTTCTTTTGTTCCTTGGCATACGCATGACGCTTCTCCAGCTCGCAGCCTGTCTCTTTAAATGCCAGCCGTGTGGGTTGCTGCTTTGAAGCCTCCTTCCCTCTTCTCAAAAGGGAGCAAAGTTCTCTGTAATTAAGTGGCTGGGGCTGAACCAGGGGGCCTGCCAAGCTTCCTTCCCCAGCATCTGCCTCTCCTGGCCCAGCCAGCGGCTCCCAAGCTTCTGAGTAGACACTGCCATCTTCTGGGAACCGAAAGGCAGAGAGACAGCCCTTAAAGGAGGGACGGAATTTCCACAGCTGTTGTTGCCTTCTTGTTGAAACATAGGAATCATAGACCCATAGGGCTGGAAGAGACCTTGGGGGTCTTCTAATCCACCCTCTGCTGAAGGTAGGAGACCTTATTCCATCCTGGACAAATGGCTGACCAATCTCTTCTTAAAAACCTCCACAACTTCTGTAGGTTCCTTCCTTCTCTGTGGTTCAGATCTGTAGTTCAGCCCTTTTTTTTTCCCCTCCCTTAGGTAAATCAGTCAGAAAGTTGCTCCAACCTCTTTGTGTTCCTCTGTGGCCTCCTTGGCCCTCTGCTGAAGACGTTGGAGAGAGCCATTGTCTTCCTTCAAGAGGTGGATTTCCCTCAGCCAGGTGGGCCTATACCTGGGGTTCCTTTGGTTGGGGGGGGCAGCCATAATTTCCCCCAGGAAAGTGGGTGGGGGCAGCATTTAGGGAAGGCTTTGAAGTGTGGGTGTGAACTTCTGAAGCTTTGCGTAGCTTTCTGCGTACCTGAAAGACAGGTAGCTCAACAGCTGGTGGGCACTGACAGCTGTTGGAAGGCCTTTGTGATAAGAGAACATCAAGAGGCTTCCTCTGGTCCAAGGTCTTGGTTGCCTTGGATCCATAGCCGGCCTTTTTTTTGGAAAGGGGGATTAGTAAAACAGTTCCAGATTGGGTGAGAGACCAGCAAAGTCCTACTAGAGCGAGAGAATGGTGTCTTCCAAAAAGTCTTCTTCTGACATCTCTTCCTTCGTTGTCTGAAACTCTGGAGAATTATGAATGAATTACGAATCCATCCTACAGTTTTTCTCACTCTGAGAACCTTTTCCCTGTAGAATCTCTCTTCCTGGAGGAGCTGCACCAGGCCTTGGTGAAGCTGGCAAGAGAGGACGGTTCTTTTGGTGAGTCTGGAAGTGTAAAATTAGTGTGAGGCAGCAACTAAGAAACTGAGACCCGGATTAGGAAGGCCCCAATTCCAGTGAGAAATGTCTGCCGCTCTTAGCCTGTCACATCTGATCCAGGGCTGGGCAACCATGGCCCCCTTTACGAACTGTGGACTTCAAGTCCCAGAATTCCTTGTCTGCAGGTAGTCTCTGACTTCCCATTGTAACTGAGCCTGGAAAGATGGCCGTAGGATCGCCAGTTGGGTAAGCAGCCAAATGGCAGTCACGTGACTGGGGGAAACAGCCGTCGTATGTATCTGTTTGGGGGTCTGTCGTAATTTCTCATGGTCGTAACTCATGCACTACAGACAGTTCTCAACTTGCAACCATGTGTTTAGTGACTGTTTGAAGTTACAGTGACGTATGACCAGTTTTCAGACTTACCACCATGGCAGCCTCCCCAGGGTCACGTGATCAAAATTCAGTCGCTTGGCAACTGGCATGTATTTGTAATGGTTGCCCCATCCTGGAATCATCTGGCTGCCATTTGTAATCTTCCCAGCCGGCTTCCAACAAGCAAAGTCAATGGGGGAGGCCAGATTTCGCTTAACGCCCGCACAGTTCACTTAACAACGGCAATAATTCACCCAGCAGCTGTGGCAAAAAAGATCGTAAAATGGAGCAACAGCCACTTGACAACCGCCTTGCTTAGCAACAGAAATTTTGGACTCAGCTGTGGTCCTAAATGGAGGATATGTTTTTATTTGACAATAGGCATTGCCATCACACGGCTGAGATCCAGTTTCCCTTTTAATGGCCCTGTGTGAACAATGGCCAGGCCCTCCCCAGCTCAATAAAAATTAGATTTTGCTGTAGAAAGAGGGCCAGAGATGGTTCAGGGTCAAAGTGGAATGACAGTTAAGAAGGTTATAATAAACATTTGTGGCTGGTGGTTCTGAATTTGACCTTGTCAAGGTGACAGCCGTCTATTGTTTTAGTTGGCCTTGTCGTAAGATAAGGAAAGGGAGTAACTTTTGACCAGGGTCCAGTACTAGGGTCATTGCTGGGATCAGCAGGGGAGGAATTTAAGCACAGGAATAGAAACATCTCATGATGGTTGACTCCTTTGGGGTCAACCTTATTCTTGATCTGGACTGAGTTCAGTAAAAGTTCTTTTAATACTGAGAATTCATTTGACAATTGGAATTGAAAATATATTCTGGCTGTTTTTAAAGGCCACAGTTTTTCACTGCTTGATGGAGTTCATGGATGGAGGTTCTACTTCAAAAGAAAAAAGAAAGACACTGGGGCATCGGGGAGGGGGGGTTCCAAAAGCTTTGTAGCTGCCATCTTTATCCTCCCACCCCCCCAGGGCTTGCTGTTAAAGAATAATATATCCTTATAATTTGTGTTTACACCGCTTTTTTAAAAAAAAAATCCAATGCTTCTCATGTTATTTATAATAATTCCCGTTAGATTGAAGAGAAGAAATAGCTAGCCTAAAACAGCCATTCATAAAGCCATTTCTGGCTGCCTCCTGTTTCTAATCCTGAGATGCATCCAGATAATTTCCTGCAATTTCTTTTGCTTCTTTTTCAGAATGTGCCAACAAGGCCTTGACTGCCACCGCCATTCGCATCTGCAAAGAATTAGGGGTAAGAACTTAATTCACTCGAGATGTTCCAGATTGCAAAAACCTTTACAGCTTCAGAAGCCAAGCATGGAGCTTTTCAGAAAGTAAATGGGTTTTTTTTCCTCTTAAGAGAAGAGCACTGGGAGAACAGAGTGATTAAGTTTCAGGATGAGGCATGCTTAAAGGGGAGGGCTGTTTAATTCCCTCCACCCACTGATATTTCATCAACAAGGACATCTTCTTCTCTCCCAAGATCAAAGAGAGTTTTTTACTCCAGGACCCTAATGACAGTTTCTTCATGCTTCTCGCTGCCCCCTTTAGTAGAGTATCTGGCTCTGTTTGATAAAGGAATTAAGATTGGTGGGAATTGTTCCTGCATCAATTCAGAATGTTAGTGGTCTAATCTTACATTCCTTATTCCATGCTTCCATGCAGCCTGTTAGAAATAACAGTTTCTTCATTCATTCATTCATTCATTCATTCATTCATTCATTCATATGTGTCGATCTGCCAGCCTCTGCTCTCTGGGAAAAGGGATTCTCTTTGATTTCTCTTCCAGGTGTTCAAGGAAGTGATGGAAGAAAAGAAACTTATTCTCCATCTATCTGAAACTTTCACTGCCCAAGAAAATCAAAAGAAACTGGAGAAATTCATCCATCAGTTTATCTACTAGATCCTTCGATAGATCTTCCTTTAACAGGCAGAAGAATTCAGAAATCTGACTTAAGAGAGTTCTCCCCCACCCATCCATTTGGACCGCTGTTTTGTTTGTGGTTCTTGTTTTGAAATGTTGTTTTCCAGGAAGAGGGAATTTTGAGTGCCAGCAACGTGGCCAGTTAGGTTAATAAAATCAATTAACACTGAAGCATGAGTGTGGATTGTAGCGTATTTGTATTAAAGACCATTACCAAAACTTCCATTTATGAAACAAGAAGCAACCAGCCAGAAGGAAGGCATTTTTTTAAAACCATTTTTAAAATGCTGCAAGGTATGGTAGGCCACATATTATCTGGGTAGAAAGATGGCTGAATTTGACATTGTTGGATGAAGATAACAGCATCAGTCCAGCTAATCATCATCCGTGTTTTCTACCCAAATTGGTGGATACTGTTATTTAGAGGTTTATAAGCTTTTGGAGAGGCAGTACAGGCAAGTGGTGAAGGTTATGGACTAGGAGCAGAGGAAGACCAGGGGGTTCATCCACGTGGCATCCCGGCTGACTCAAAGAAGAGAGCCAGTTGGGTGGAGTGGTTAAAGGCCTCTGCTGAAAGCTGAGAAAACAAGAGTCCTCATCTGACCTCAGGCACAAAGCCACCTGGATGACCTTGAGCCAGTCACTCTCTCAGCCCTAGGAAGGAGACAAGGGCAAATCATGCTGATCCTCCCTCCCATCTACAATCCTCCTTTCTCTGCCTCTCCCTCAAAAAAACCTGTAGATGCAAAGCCAAATACTTTTTATCCATCTGCAAGGCTGGTCGGTTGGTTGATTTTGTATCCCCACCTTTATTATTTTCACAAATAGTTCAAAGCGATCATATTCAACACACCACCCTATTTAAAACTCGGACCACACGTTTTCTGAATAGTTTTTATCCCAGAGCTGTAATTGCACTCAACAACGAACTAAAGAGCCACCATCAGTGAACTGTTGGACAGCATTACTTGGTCTGTTGTGTGGATGTTGGGTGGTTTTAGGGGTGGGGATTGTGGTGGTGGGGAGTGTGTTTGGGGATTATGTGTGTGGGACTTGGTTTTTGGGTGTCAAGTAAATTTCGTTGTATATGTATACTATGTACGCACATACAATGACAATATAAATTTAAAGCGCTCCATGGCATCGGACCTGGATACCTCCGAGACCGCCTTCTGCCACAGATTCCCTCCCATAGACCGGTACGCTCCCACAGAGTGGGCCTCCTCAGGGTGCCGTCGGCCAAGCAATGTCGGCTGGCGACCCCCAGGGGGAGGGCCTTCTCTGTGGGTGCCCCCACG